ATTCTCTTTAATGAGATTTTATTAACCTGACTGTCAAGCTTTTGAGTCAGGCAGATATTTTATCTTCTTCAACTGATAAAAGTGTCAGCCATAAACCACCATATAAATATTCATAAATCTACACATCTGTGGCAGCCTATCAGCATCATTCTTTTGGACATTAAAAGCATTCTAATTACTTTCTGTCTAGCAGAGCTGAAATGCTGCCTGTTATAGTATGTGCTTGGCAGGCATGATTGCTTTTGTTTGCCATCACAAATAGCAGCATCCTATTTTATATACCGATGGTCCAGGAAATATTCAGGGATTGACTGAGCAGGATGAATATTAGGAAGCGCCACCTGCTTTTGATAGCACCGAGTATATTAACTCATCTGTTAATTTTTGACACATCATTGATTTATTTATTTAGAAAAATTGCATCCTGTTTTGCTGTGTTGACGTTTGCCATTATGGGAAAAAAAATTGGCTGGCTTTTTTTTTTTTAAGGCATCCTTCATTGATTTAAGACGAGGGTGCTGTTTTCCAAGACGCTTTAATTTTCTAACTTCTGTCTCCTGTACCATACCATGTAGGCCTCTTAAAAACGAAGTTAATCTTTTAAGGGGAGCCTCTATTTTGAACTAGTTGGAAGTCCTTCGGTAGATGTAATGGGTGGGTAACATAATAGGTCACTAAAAATTTCCTACTACATCTTTAATATTAACATATTTTACCCTTGACTGAGCTAAAATCAAAAGGTTGCCGCTAATCTTCAGTGCTGTGATCTCCCTCCCAGAGACGGAATTCTCTTGAGGGGTGGGCTGGGCTGGGCACATTCTGAGCACAGCTTGCCCCACGCAGGCCATCAGAGTAGAGAAGAGGCAATGTTTGAGTGCCTGCTTCCCATCCCGTTCTTAGTCACTTATCAAATTGAGGATGGATTAAAACCACATAGGTGCAGAAGAATTTCAAGAAATGAAAATCTTAATTAAAAAAATAGTAATAGCCATGAGTTTAGACTTGAGAAGCAGGGTGGGCACAATACACAGCGCGGTTTCATCTCTCAGTCGGCGCAGAATAAAGCATGCTAAGTCAGTGGTCATTCAGAGGACTTTGAAATTGTGATTTATTAACTTGTGGGGAAGTTAGGGATAGGTTGTTTTTAAAGTCCTTTTGTAGGCTGTAGATTTTTGTATTTCTCTGCTGTCCCCTGCGTGTGGGGCACTCTATGACAAGAGGTTTTAAAAAAAAGTTAAGAAAAATCCATGTTTATGTTTTGCTCAGTTAAGACAGTCGTATTCATAGGAAACAGAACATTTCTTCATCTCTTAGTGGAAAGGGGCTTGCACAGTTCCTGCGTATCTGACTGTAGTCTGTCCAGAAAGCTAAAGTATTGCTGATTGTGGTGCATATGAAATGGAAGAATTGCACACACACACACACACCCAGTGCAGTGGGGATATTTTTATCACACTCTTTTGTATTTTGGTGTTAAAATATACTGCCCAGATATTTCAAGGTTTTGAAAAGAGGGAAAATTCAGCCTTACACGTCTACAGTTGCCGTTCTTCTATAGATCAGCTCTGAGAGCAAATTCAGAGAGATGCCTTTTCAAGTCAGGCAAGAACTGTTCGGTGATCATTGCAATTCTCTGATGCTCTGAGTGCACTTTAATAGATTATCTTTATAATGTAGTATATTACATAATGATTTTTTTTCTCAGCATGCTATGAGTTTATCCTTCAATTAAGAAAACAAATCATGCTTGTCTCTAAGTCAGATTTTTTTCCTCTTGAAATCTATGCTGTAATGTGATTCATCAATGTGATTAACGCTGCCCGGTGTTTGGTAGGACACTGAACAAGTGTCTTTGAGCAGCTCTTTCTACACAGTTCCATTTAAGCCTTCTGCGGCCGTCCCTTTTGTCAAGGTTATGTTAGAGGTGTGTGGGCTGTAAGTCGGTGGGCCTGCGTGGTTAAAATGCACGTAGTAAATACAACTTAAGGTCTTGTGTGAGATTATAGGATTAAATTGATGACAACCGCTCCTGGGCTAGAATGGAGCATTCCCAGTCAATACCGTCCTTTGATTTCACTAATGAAAGAACAAAATAATGAAGTAAAATAACGAGAGTGGAATACCTCTCCACTTGGGAGGTTCAGCGCTTCACCTCCTAGTGTGGTGTATGTCAGTAAAGAAATGGCACCCAGGGATCTGTAGGACTTAGGTACAGATCACGACTCCGCACCCTCATCAGTGACCAGGTTTGTGTTCAGGGTTTTAAACTGACCCATGGTGTTCTTCTGTCAACTCTCTGGTATTTTCACGGAGACGGTCCACACTTCTGAGCTTTTAACTCAGGTGAGAGGGAACCTTCCGAGAGGTTTGTGGAAGGATTCCTGGGTCTTGACCTTGTCACGGGAGAATCTCAGGAAGGGCAGGGTAGTGTTGCCCTTGGGAACTGGAAGTAGACTGGAGAGATGGTCCATTGGGTGGTAAGTGGGAGGACCTCAGTTCAGGTCTGTAGAGCCCAGGGAAAGGCAAGTGCTGTAACCCGTCTGTAATCCCAGCACCCCTGTATAACAAGATAGACAGCAACAGGAGGACTTTCGGGTGGTCTTGGGGGAGGCTCGTATATGCAGCAATGACAGTGTTCAAACACGCTAAAAGTGCTGGCGTCTGAGATAGCCTCTGACCTTTGTGGGGGGCAGAGGTCAATGTTGGGTGTCTTCAGTTGTCCCCTCCTGTTTTGAGAACTCATGGGTACATACAAATATGATGACATCTACCCCCCATTACCTCCTCCCAGCTCCTGCCTGTATCCTGACCCTGTGTGTATCTCCCCACTAAATGTCTTCTTTTTAAATAACACACTAAGTCCAGTATCGGGGTCCATATGTGCATGGCTCACTGGAGAATGGGCAGTGTACTAGTGTCCACCCCCCAAAATTATTCTGTCAGCTATCAGCTGCCGATAGCTCCTCAGTTAAGGATGGGGCTCTTGAGTCAGGCCGCTCCTATACAGCAGCCACCCCATTTTCTTGACGCAGGACCCCTTACCTGGCACTTACTGTTTAGTTAATATTGGTTGGTCAGTAAACTCCAGGTATCTTCCTGTCTGTGCACCCCCGATGCTGGGACTGTAGGCATGTGCTGCCCCTGGCTTTTAATGTAGGTGCTCGAAATGGAACCCAGCTCCTCATGCTTGTGCAGCAAGCTCTTCAGTCGTGAGCTAGCACCCCAGCCTTTCCCTTGTTTTTAAACACGGTCTCACTGATTAGACCTTAGGCTAGGCTGGCAGGCCAGGGAGCCCCGGGGCAACCCTCTGTCTCAGTCTCCCAGTGCTGGGATTGCAAGCATGTACCCCCACATCCATCTTTTTATATGGGTGCTGGAGGTGGAGCGTGGGTCCTTGTGTTTGCATGACAATCACTTCACCTACTGGTCTGTTTGATCGGTGGGTATCTATTGAGCCATTCTTCAGTGGCTATATTGGAAGCACTAATAGCCTGACTCTCCTGGACAGAAAAGTTTTAGCTCAGAATTCCCCAGAATGGTAGCATTGTTCAGACTTGGGGGATGGGATACTTCATGTGTATTGGGGGCACTGCTGGGGTTTCTTTATGTCTTCCAATTAAGTAATTGACACAGGACATTTGAACCGCCCTTTCCCAGTACCTGCTTACTTCATAAAAATGTGCTAAGAAGAAGAAAGCATGGCAGAACATTGACTATAGAATGGGATTCTCTGTCGTCCATGTCCCATGTTGTCTCCCCTCCCCCTCCACGGCCCCATTTTTCCTGAGGAGGGACCTCACTGTGAAACCCAGGCTGGTCTTCCACTCCTGGGTTTAAATGTTCGGCCTCCCAAGTAGCTGGGGCAGCATCTGTACCACAGCTCATGGACAACACAGAATTGTGTTTTCATTCACCATACATGCCGAGTGTCTTGAGGCTTTCTATTACATCCGTTGTCTCTACCCCAAAGAAGATCTCAAGCATCTCACTATTCTTCACTTGAAAGAACCTTATTTTTCTTTCCCTGACCAAATAAAACAAAAATATCTAGCCAGTGTCTTCAGAGAAAGCCAGTAGCAAGCTACGTTTTTATGATAAATAAGAATTTCTAGCCCCTGAACAATTTTCCAGTGTTTTGTTTGTGGCCATTAATCTGGGTAAGGGGAAGAAGAAATCTGAAGAGCCTGAACAGTGTCACTCGGTGCCAGTGAGGTCCATCTCTGTGGCAGCAAGCAGGGGGAGGAGCCACCTGTTTCCGCACGTTAAGACGCATTGGACAACATTATAATGCTTTCAGGATTTGGGAGAGATTTTCCCTTTGTCTCTAGCAAGGTGGTTGGTGTCTCTTCACTTTTACTTTCCGCTGCTTGACAGTGTGCTTAGATCAGGTGTGGGGCTTCATGGCACCCACGCTTTCTGCCCCTGTAGAAGACATGACAGTCCAGTGTCAATGACTCTGAGAAGAGGGAGTCCCTTTTCAGATGGTGCTGCCCCATCGCTCTACTCTGGCAAGAACTCCAGATTAGGAAGACTTGAGTGCGGGTGCCGGGTGACAGTCTGTGTCACACTCACCCTCTTGCTGTACAGCCTTGTGTTACCTTAGGTTTCTAGGGAGCTCTTCACAGGGACTAATCTCTCCTCTCCAGCGTGCATCCGTGAGCTGCGTGGTTGTAGCAGGGATTGTATCAGCTGATGAATAGCAAGGGCAGGAGGGCACTCCAGAAATAGCAGTAATGATTGCAGGAAGGCCTCCTATCAATGAGGAACCGAGTCTGCAGTGGCTGGCTCAATTCATTAGAGTGAAGATATTAATGAAGCCAAAGGTGTGAGCTCAGCCCTGTGCAGGCCAGAGAGGGACATCTCCATACGGTTCCCAGCCTTTTCTCAGAATTAGGGGTTGGAGCGGCCCGGGGACCTATTGGTCACAGAACAATAGGGAGCTGTGTGTCCTTTCTGTGGTGGGTTCACTGGGCCTTTTGTGTGGGAAGGTTAAGCCGGAAATGGAGGGCCTTGCTTCTTCCATGCCTGGCTGTTGGTCACTGATGTCTCCTTCTCGTTTCATTCCAGAGAGCCGGATGATCTTGGATGCCTTTGCCCAGCAGTGCAGTCGTGTTCTTAGTCTCTTAAATTGTGGAGGAAAACTTCTGGACTCCAACCATTCTCAGTCCATGATTTCTTGCGTCAAGCAGGAAGGCTCTAGTTATAACGAAAGGCAGGACCAGTGTCACATTGCAAAAGGGGTCCAGAGCCAGACCCCTGACAACATAGACATAGAAATGCAATATATGCAAAGAAAACAACAGACTTCTGCCTTTCTGAGAGTGTTCACTGACTCGCTCCAAAATTACCTGCTCTCGGGGAGCTTCCCGACACCGAACACCTCATCAGTCAGTGAGTATGGCCACCTGGCTGATGTGGACCCTCTCTCAACCTCCCCGGTGCATACATTAGGCGGCTGGACCTCCCCGGCGACGTCTGAGTCCCACGGCCACCCATCCTCCTCTACGCTGCCAGAGGAGGAGGAAGAGGAGGAAGAGGAAGGCTACTGTCCTCGATGCCAGGAGCTGGAGCAGGAGGTTATCTCCTTGCAGCAAGAAAACGAAGAGCTCAGAAGGAAGTTAGAAAGCATTCCAGGTACGCAGCCACACTTGGGGCCGACAGCGGCTGCTCAGGTGTGTGTGTGTGTGTGTGTGTGCAGCCTCGGTGATGGGGATTGGGCCAGGATGTTGCAAAGTTGGGAAAGCCAGGCGTGTAAGATGTCCTTGGATTACCCAATCCAGGCAGACATTCCAGGACAAGCGCTAACCTGTCTTGTCTGTGTTAAGCTGCGCGGTTTTTAGGTCCAGCCCGGAGCCCACGGATGTCTCTATCGGTCCATAAGTAGTTCCTTGGCATGCAGTGCCGTGGCATTGCTGTGCGTCACCTGTTGGGAATCCAAGAGTCCTTGGAAAGCGGTCTGTATTTAACAGGACCTTCGTAGCCCCTGGTGCAGATGTGAATGAAGCCATCTTTGCATGAGCAACACTCGGTCCTGAGGAAAGGACAGGGCCTTTTCTGTCCCGCTCTTTCTCCGGCCTCGCTTGGCAACTATGTTTCAGCTCGCTGTCTCTTCAGTGTCCAGCCCCCTCCTCCCAAAGTTAACTTAGAAACTGTAAACTAATAGGTCAGAGATAAACCGTCAATTAAGCTGTTTGTGCCCCTGGTGTGAGGCAGTCCCTAACTCTTAAACACCTTCCACTTTCTTAGCAGTAGAGTTGGAATTTTCTTAGGACAGGACCTCTGGATTTTTGCTGTTACTGCTATTTCCTCTGCTGTTAAGGGACGTTTACATGGACTGTAGAGATGACTCTACCCTGGCTGCTCTTCCAGAGGACTTGAATTCCCAGCGCCCACAAGGCAGCTCACAGTTGTCTGTAACTCCAGCTCCAAGGGATCTGACACCCTCACACAGATACACATACAGGCAGACCAGTGCATGGAATAAAAACAAATCATTTCAAAGGTCTTTTTAAAAAGGAAAAGTACTCATTTCCCTTGTGTTCTTGAGTTCATCCCTGTGTGAGTGGGATTGACAGCAGGATCATTAGCTAGAACAAGACCTGTTTTCATCACTGGCCCTTCAGAGACGATAAAGGCAGGGCCACATCCCCACAGTCATCACATTTATGCTAGCTATGTACGTAAATAGAAATTGTTCTTCTGTTTAAGCCTGGCTCTGTGTGTGTGTGTGTGTGTGTGTGTGTGTGTGTGTGTGTGTGTACGTGCGCACGCGCCATGTTATTGGTAGTTCATGTAAAAATGGGGAAACGCTCAAAAAAAAAAAAAAGCATAGGACGGAAAATCAGAAACAGATTTGCCCAACCAGAGCCACATATGGTGATCCATACCTGTATTAACAGATCTTGGGAGGCGAGCCAGTAGGATCAGGAGTTCAGGGTCATCCTTGGCTACAGGAATCTGAGGCCAGCATGAGCTACATGAAACCTATCTCAAAAACAAACACATGCGTAGAGTTGCCAAATTAAAAATCCCTTCCCATGTTTCATTGAGAGGTTGGGCTCAGAATGTCATGGAACCTGACTCTGTGTGTGTCGAAAGGACAGACAAGAGAAGTAAATCTGTGTTGTGTGCTTCAGCCAGGCTGTCAGGCCTTCGGGACACCCTAGGCGAACCTAGAAAACTGGTTAGGCCACGCTGTTTCTTGTCTGCCCACGTCAGGGAGAGGTGGTCACAGCTAACACACTGGGGTTTTCCATTCTGCCAGCCCTGCCTGCAGATATGGCCCATTCAGTGTAAGTTTACCTCCCGCATTTATCTTATTCCCATTCCTCCTCAGGGCAGGGAGAGATAGGCGGCTGCAGAGACTGACACTCGGAACCGTAGCCGGCAGCTTCTGCTGGTTTCCTAGCCGCTCTTAGCAGCCCTCCGTGGACTCTTCCTGTGTAACACGTTCCACAGTGTAGGACGAGGTGACACAGATGTCCAGAATATTACTAATTCCGAGTCCTAAATACGTGGAAGTGTTCCTGACATATCATATATGTGAGATTCAGCCAGGCCGGTGTCAGGAATAACTCACGGGTGGCCTGATCTAGTCACTGAACTTCCCAGAAAGGTGAAAATGCTGTACTCTCTTGAGCACTCTTGATCAGATCTTGAATGACACTGATTGAAGTAGTCTAATGATCAGTAGAGCTACTGTGGGTACCCCCGGCTTGTTGAGGAGCTTTCCGTGAACCTTGAACCGACAGCCATTTCACATAGGACTGTGGTTGCATTAAACACATCTGGAGGGCTGGGCATGGCTGCACATATCAGTACCAGCACTGCAGCAGAAGCAGGAGGGTCAGGTGGTCAGGACCATCTTCAGCTACATAGCAAGTTCGAGGCTATCATGGTCTACGTGAGACCCCGTCTTCATTATGTCTGGAAACCCAGCAATACACAAGAAGATTCAAGGGATGAGTTATGCACAGATGAAAACCATGTAAAATGGAAAACACCCACGCTAGTTAGTGATTACCTGTCAGATGTCACTGTCAAAGGGAAGAGATTGAAGGTGTCACCTGAAGATGGGCATTTGACCAAAGGACAAAGGGCAGCATGGTCCTCTTGCCTTTCTCCAAGCCTTCTTTGGGTGAACAAGTTGGGGGATCATTCAAGAATCCATTCTTGACTCTTAGTGACTGAAGTTTTAGGAAAAATTGCCCCTAGACACCCACTTAAAGAAAAATACAGTAAGGGATAGGCTGGTTCCGTGTGTGTTACCAGGCAGTAACTGTATTTGTCCCTGCTCTCTAATGGGCTCAGGGCACCCCACTCTCCTAGAGACAGTGCATTCCCATAGGAAGATCTGGGGTTGTCTTGTAGCATCTACCCTATTGGACAGTCAGTTTGTGGCAGCCGGACAGCCAGGACAGCCAGGTACAAAGAAGAAGGCAGTGTCCAGAAGTCAGGAGAGAGAATTTTAGGAAGACTGAGATCAATTGACTAAGTGCTGCAGACCACCCGATGGGAACCCAAATGTCTTCAGGTTCTACTGAAGGTACTGCCGGGAACATGATTATAGGTTCCTGCTTCATTTTCTCCCCTGAAGTAAAGCCTGGTGCATATGTGAACTAAAGGGGGCTAGCCCGTCAGGCCACGAGGAAAATGATTCACTTGGGTGATCACAAGAGGAAGGGAAGGTGTTAGCTCTAACCTAAAGCAGGTTGGGGAGGGCCTTCTCCTAGCGCTGTGTGTTGCTGGTGAGGTGTCTGCTAGCCTTAAACTGAGAGGCAATCTTACTCTCAGAGGTCCTTTCGGAGGTCAACAGTTCACCTCAAGGAAGTGACTTTGGCACTTTTCCTTTTGTATTGGATCATTCTGCTAGAAATTGGGAAGTTTATCAAATTTCTTCAATTTTTTTAGTAAGAGATGAAAACAGGCTAAAAAGAAGCAGCTAAAATAAATGAATAAATAAAGCTACTTGGACCAGGAGTATAGTTCTTGGGAAGTAATTAGAAAGCAGTAGTGGTTGGAGTTTCTCAATGGGGGTGGTCAGGTGGGGTATCGTCTAGTGAGCTCCCTTCCAGTCACAATAATTGAGAACGTTCATAGGGAATGACTATAGATATTAAAATAAGAACCTATGGGGGATTTGTTTGTTTGGGTTGTGTGTGTGTGTGTGTGTGTGTGTGTGTGTGTGTGTGTGTGTGTGTTTTAGACAGGGTCTCCTGGTTTTCAGGCTGGCTACCAGTTCACCGTGTAGCTACTGATAGATTTGAACTCCTTCCTGCTGCCTCTGAAGTAGTAGGGGTGGTTACAGGGTTGTTTGCTCCTCTGCCCAATTGTATGTGGTGCTTTAAATTAATGTATTTACTGGCACAGTTCTCCTTGTATATCCCTGGCTGGCCACTTGCTCTGTAGACCAGACTGGCCTTAAACTCAAAGATTTGCCTACTCAAGTGTGCTGGGATTAAAAGGTGTGTGCCACCATGCCTGGTTTTCTGTTTTTGTTCTCTGCATATTTGGTTTTTTAAGACTCCACACATAGGCTAGATCAGACAGGGGCTGGAGAGATGGCTCCGCCGTGAAGAACACTCGCTGCTCCTGCAGACGACCCCGGTGTGGTTCCCGGCGCCCACGTGGCGGCTCACAACCAAATGTAACTGCTGTTCCAGGGGATTGAACTCCCTGTTCTGGCCTTCATGGGCACCAGGAACACATGTGATACACACAATGAAGGCAAACGCATACAAAATAAAAATTAAGAGCAGACTGTATCGGACATGAATAATACTCCACTTTCCTTGGCCTCTTTTTCTGTTGCTGTAAATTCATGTCATTCCCATGTGTCAGTGAACACAGAGTGCCTGTCTTCACAGGTGGTGATTTCATCTGCATCGTGAGGACAGTAGTCATCCTCACCAACAGTAAACTAGGATTGCCTTTTTCCATCGTCAGACACAGTTGTTATCTTTTGGCTTTATGATGCCTGTTCCAAGGGTTCAGAGATGGCCTGACGGTGGGTTCGAGTTTTGCTTTCCTTGTTAATGATCTCTGAGCACCTATCATTGACTGCATTTTGGATATTTTTAAGTCTTTGGCGAAATATGTATTGTGTACCCACCTGCCCATCCTCTTTGAAACAGTCTCTCTTCTGATCCTCAACCCTCCAATTCCTGAGATAATATATGATATATACGTACTGCTGTGTCTGGCTCTTGCCTGTGTTGTGTGGAAGGGTGGGATGGAGAAGAGAGAGAGGGAGGGTCCCTCACTGGCCTGGAGTTCATATTTAGGCTAGGCTGGCCAGTCCACCAGCCCAGGGCTCCTTCTTAGGACCCCGTATCTAGCCCTTTACGTATCTAGCCCTTTACATGGGTGCCAGAACTGGAGCCAGGTCCTCGTGTCTGTAAGGAAAACGTTTTATTGGCTGAGCTACCTTCCTCTGGTAGGAATTTACAGTTTCTGCTCTTATATTTAGGGCTCCTCTGTAGTTTTTAATATTTATGGTCTTATATGAATTAGTGGTTGAGTTTTGTTTATGATACAAGTTTTCAGTCTTAATTTCTTTTGCATGTGAAAATTCAGTTTCCGGGGCTGGAGAGATGGCTCAGAAGTTAAGAACACTTGGTGCTCTTGCAGAGAAC